CCCCAAAACCCCAAAACCCCAAAACCCCAAAACCCCACGTCATCTTCATAACATTGAAACATTCAAAAATAGGGCTAAAAAATAGCTCATTTTCAACCCCGCGGCTTTTCTTTGAGAGAATGAGGAGCACCTAAAATTATGAAATGTAAATTTACTCTTGCGGTCAGATAACCTTCTTTTTAGGTTCTTCTTTTGAAGGGAATTGTTCTTATAGTGTGTCTTAGGCCGGTTTAGGTCAGAGTTTGTTAAGTAGCATCTAGAGATTAAGCAGGGAAGTACTCAGTGGTCGCAGGTGGCTTTTTATGGGTAATATCTAGGCTTGACTCAGAACTAGGGACAGAGTCTTCACATGAAATGGTGATTGACTTTTTGGAAGGGTCTAGGTCTTCAACCCCAAATCCTTGATTTTCTACCATTCTTCTTCTTGCTAACTTCCAATGTGTTTTTAAAAGCTTCTCTTTCGTGCTCTTTAATTGTGTAATGCTTTTATCTTCAGAATGTCTATTATTAGTAGCATTCAATGCAGTAGTCTCTAAGTCTTCCTCTACTTCTCCTATATCATCCAAGTCTTCAAGATGTCTCGGTATTGATTCTAATTTTCATAATTTTCCTCCAGCATCACTTTCGCCTTTAGTCTCTTCCAAATCTACTTTGGTAGTGCTTACTGACTCTTCTTCCCCAACTTTTGGGTCAGTTTCCTTTGTGCTTTCTGTGAGCCTACGGGGCTTCATTTGGTAAAAGATTAGGTAAGGAATAATCTTATTCTTTCTTCAGTGATTTACCATCATATTATATCCTCCTAGCACTTTGTGATTTTCATCTTCGCACGAATGCCTAGAAATGTAACTATAGTCTTACCATGTCCCTTTGTGTTGAAGGAAGGCCATGTAGTGATGTCCGTAGTAACCTACAAAGCCAAGGAGGTCATATTCTTCAGGCTCATGTACAGTTGAGAGGGTATTTGAACTTATGGAAATATCTGACCCGTCATATCATGGAGTAAAAAGGTCAAATAAAGGGAAAGAAGGAGGTAGCAAGTGGATCATTTCTCTCCGGCTTGAGAACTCTGAATCTACAGAGTTGAAATACTCCCCATATTGCAGATAGAATGTGATAATTGCAGGAGGTTCTCTGATAAGACTTAATGGTTCAGGCTCTTTGAAACCTTCTTCTCCTTTACAGATCGTCTTAATGACGTCTAAGTCCGAGCTTTCTGGATATGCTAATGTATGTTTAGCCAATCGAATTAATTTATGTCTCAAACTTATTTTAGGGCTAATTTTAACCAGAGAACTTCCAACGACGATATCATCAGCAGGAATTGTGAGGAAATAGGTATGTCTCTCCTTTGTTTTCTCCTGATCATGCTCATCAAACGAGATATAGGATATCTATAATTAATAAACTCGAAAAATGACTGAGTTTTCTCACTTTATGTAGAACTATCCTATTATTAAACATCTTATTTCGGATAAGAAGAGAAGTTGGTATTATTTCAAGGAATCCAATTAAAATCGGATATCCAGTTTTTACTTTTCTTTTAATTTTCTCAAAGAAAACATGCAAAGAATTAGTCCTAAGTAGGCACTAAAGGAGAAAGTCGACCACCACCAAAAACTTTTGGGAATATAATTTCTAAATAGGATTTGCTTACATTAAAAGTTTTCTGGACAAGGTCTTTGAGATCGGTCTCTGCAAAAAGCTGATGCAATAGGGCTAGAAATAGCTGTGCGTCGCTCGGCTGTATTTTTAAGTCATTCCCTTACTTCTTTAATTCTGAAACTATTGGGGTAATTTATACTCATAGTCTCTCTGAGGTTGCTCAGTTGCTGAATATTTGAGAACTTATCCTCTGGGTTTTCAGGCGTGTCCTATATTGTATAATATCATTGCCAAACCTTGTATATTTCAGGATCTTCAAATGCCTCATTCATTATCTGAAGTATTTCCTTAGTAGTCACGTTGAAGTTCTGAGGGTATAAAGCAGGGAATTACCTTGGAATCAGTAGAGACTGTTCTGGATACTAAAGGTTAGACCCAACAACCTCTTACTTTTATTTCAATGGCTCCTTCATTGAGTCTACTCTCATGTACAGGTTAAGCACAGAGTTGATGTAACAATTATTATCTCTGTTTGAGTTGTCAAATCTATACCAGAGAAATTAGGCTTGGAAGGAAAATTCTGGTAAAATTATGAATAATTTACGAGTATTTTTGAGTAATTAACCGTAAAATTATTCCTTGTGCTCACCTGTATATCTCCATGTTATTTATAAAGGATTTCAATAAGTTTTACATCATTTGGGGTTTTGGGGTTTTGGGGTTTTGGGGTTTTGGGG